TACACAAATATATATTACACAAATATATATATATATCTATATATATATATATATAGATATCTATATATAGATATATATACACACACACACACTATATTGTTTTTGTGCTTCTATCACAAGGCTGTAGTTATTATGGTCTTAGTGATTGCAAGCGACATACACTTGTAAATTTTACCGTTTTAAACCAAGGTCCTCAATCAATACTCTCTTCACCCAAATGGGCACTCTTTACCCCTTGCATGGTGGATAATATTATTGCCAATTTGACTATAATGCTCAGTGACATTTTTGTGGAAAAAAAGAATCTACAAATGGTGAAAGCCTTCTTTCAGGAAACAGGAACACAAAGCTGCTACTTTCAGATGAAATTCCCTTCCCTTACAATTGCTGTGGTCTCCCAAGGTCTTCTACTATTGATAAACACAGTCACATAATATCTTCAGTGCTGACCAAACTTTAGACTTCATTTGATCCACTGCTGACGTGAGGCTGAGCCCTTTACCAGGGATGTCAGCCCTCCAAAACAGAGCATGGGATCTCCTCTGTAGATCAAGCAAAAACAAAAGAAAAGAAGGGAAGAGCACCTTCTTTCCTCTTGTTGTTGCGTCTTCTACTGTGATAGATTTTAGTCCACACATAGGGCCATATTTGAAGATTTAATGCACATCTAAATATTGGTGTCCCTTCATAAAGAACTCTTTTGTCCATGCTTCCCGATGGGTATGTAAAGAAGCACCAAGTCAGCCAAGTCACAAGAGCCAATAAAGTTTAAAGGATTGGAAAACTCAGCCCCCTTTCTATAAAAATGTAGGCTCAAAGCAACCATATTTTCAGTGTGGGTGGACACTGTTAGGGAGAGCTTATTTATTTATTTATACTAATTGTGACTCAACTTAGACTTTAACTTCAAAGGGGTTTGCCACAAAAGTGCACCAACTTTGAGCAAGATTCTCAAAACTGTTTGTGACCAAACCTGGGCAGATTTGTTAACCCTAAAGTTTATGTATTATTAGTACAGGGCTGACTATTCCACATAAATATAACATAGGAAAGTTGCCTAACACAAGAGCTGCATTCCAGTGTATTATTTCTTTTACACTGAAAGTGATACTGAATTATACTGTCTAAGGAAGAGAGTAAACTTGTATGCAAAAACAACAGTTCTTAGCTACTTGAATAGTTTATGGCATGCTACAGAGTTTATGGAAACTTGGTTTATTTGGCAGCATTCTTAGAAAAATACATTAAAAGTTATTCCACTCTCAGCAGTTTCCATCCAAAATGTATGTGTCGTAATTTAAGTTTAACAGCACGGTGTATTACGTTCTGCAATGCATTTATCATAACAAGATAAAGCAATAATTGTTTAGGGAGTGTTGTAAAAAAAATGTTCATATTGCCACAAAGGTCACTTGTATAAATTAGGACAGCAAAGTGAGTTTTCAAAAAAGCTTAATTGGTAAATCTAATTTCATACCGGAAGTATTATATCAAATGATAAACTAATTTAGAAGAGCAGACAAATTATTGCCCAACAGTGTTTAATAGACATCTCTTAAGATGCATTTTTATTTGTGCAAAAAACATTTACTACAAGATTGTTTTTGTTAAATCCCACCCTTCACACTTTTTACCACTGATATAAACTCTTTTGCTAGAATTTACATCTAATATTAATTAAATGTCTAACAAACACTCTCTACAAGAATAATGCTATTTGAAATCCAAATCTAGAAGCATTGACTTCTGGCAAGACCTTTTTATGGAAAACTAATCAAGACACGAGGTTAAAGCAGTTTTAAGTGTCAAAGCAGCAATGATCATAAAGCAAACTGTATTGCAAATTAGTGATGTAAGCTACCATCTGGACTCACCCTGGAAAACACACTGCGGTTTACCCAGCAAAGTAAATGTCCACTTTGCAAAGCAAATGCTAGTGAATAATGTGAAGCTTTGATAACTTTAAATACACAATTATATGTGGGCACCATAGTGGCATAGTGGTTAGCACTTCTACCTTGCAACACTATCTGCAAGGAGTTTGCATGTTCTCCCTGTGCTTCTGAGGGTTTCCTTGGGGTATTCCAGTTTCCTCCCACACTCTAAAGACATGCTGGAAGGGTTAATTGGCTGCTGTCTAAATTGGCCCTGTACGTATGCATATGATAGGTTGTAAGCACCTTGGGCACAGGGACAGATGTGAATGTGCAATGTATAAATACCTATAAAAATATGTAGATATTTTATAGTATAGTGGATAGTATATTATATACAAGTATGTGTGAGGGAAAATAAAAAAACAAAAAACAAAAGAAAAAAACATTTTTAGTTGGGTATTCAACACACCATCACCGTATTCACTAAAATTCACTTTGCAGAGTGATTATTCACTTTCCTGTTTGAGCAACCTCTACTCCTTTAGCAAATCAATCAATCAAATCAATGAAAACCTTCAATTCTCTGACCTCTTAACTCCTGTGATCTCTAAACTCATCTATAATGTCCACAAGCAATGCACTATTACTTTATATGAAGATTTTTGCGACGCTAAATCCCCTAAAGTGCTATAAAATTTAATGTGCCATGAAACAAAACAATCTTATATTCGTGACCAAAAAGTGTCCTTATTCAGAAAAATGTAAACTGTGAAATTTATACAACCAAAAGTGAGACCATTGGTTGTATAAATTTCACAGTTTACATTTTTCTGAATAAGGACACTTTTTGGTCACGAATATAAGATTGTATTGTTTCATGGCACATTACATTTTATAGCACTTTAGGGGATTTAGCGCCACAAAATCTTCATATAAATTTCTAAGGCTTTTCCGTCTGTTATTGTGGCAGCTTTATTTCCCATATTACTAATATCTTATCCACAAGCGCAGATCAACAGTTCCAATGCACTATTACTTGTTGCTGTAATTAGTAAATTAAACAAAAAAGGAATATCTCTGTAGTTGCCGACTTTCAGGGTGCTCAGCCCCTTGCCATTGGTGGCTTGAATCACCTGGGTATGCTAAAGCAGCCTAGTTCACGTTTCATCTAGTTTTTTGATGACACTATCCACGGAAGCAAATCTGCTTTACCGTGGTCAGTTTATGTTCTTTCAACTTGTAAAAGGAGCCACAAGATTATGTGCTTGTAGTTTCACAATCAGCCTGTGATACCATAGCTTGACATACACCCCCCTACCCAGCCCTGCTCACTTTGATTGACTGTGGCTCAGAGTAGGAGCCACGCTGTCACAAGAGCAGCTGATCTTTGTTATAACTCCTATCTAACCACTTCCCCAGCCAAGCTAAAACGGCTTTAGAACAGAGCTCTGTGGTCACAGCACCACTGAGATAAAGTGAGTTTTAAAATACTCTTCAAGATGTGTTAACATTTTTAATGACTGTTTTACATATGCATAACTACATATGATCTAATAGCCTACCTGTTAACTTAGGAGTTCATATGAGCTTTATGTTCATTTACAAAGATGAACTGGTTGCAGTTACATTTGCATGGCATCTTCCTACCCACAGCTGCTGCTGCTGCTGCTGGAGGAAAGTGGGGTGCATACATTGCAATAGATGTTAGAGCAAGCCTAATAAAATACACAACCTTTAACTCAAAGAATACTATGATGGTACAGTGAAAAATCAAATGTATGCTTCCAAACTGTATGCATGCATTTTCTATTTATGAATGGAACTTTTTACTTGAGTGGACATATGCCCAGATGTTTTGGTTTACCTCTAGCATTTTTCCTAATTAAGGTTCGTTTACATTGACTGTGTGTGGTTGCTCCAACACACAGTTGATCATAAAGTTTCATAGAAGAAATGCCAGACTACAAAGACATGGAACAGCAGCCATATTGGCACAAGACAAAAGCACATCTTAAAAAGGAAATAGCATGCACTTCTAAAACAAAATGCCAAGGAGTGAAGTTTATGCACAGACTAGATGGGCAGATCGATTTTCCATCTGTCAGGTTTTATCATTTTCTGTTGGTTTCTACCATGGTAGATGAGAATTTGGTAAGAAATCTATTCTACCAACATATGTAATTGCATATAGAGGTAACATCTATGCAAGTCTCCATGCTAGTCTCCTTAACAAATTTAAGAACATTTGTAGGTGGGGGTGGTTTACTCACACCGGCAAATACTGTATAAGCTTCATCCACCACCAAGTAACACCGAACTTTTAATAGACATGCTTAAACATTTCTGTGTTGCAGAAAGGTCACTGATGGGTTCATTTTTGTACGCTGGGGGTAGGTGACTGAAGGGTTAATGGTAATCCTGTGGTGGCTGCTCTGCTGGTGTAAAACTGGCTTGAGAGCTTTGTGTACTAGGAGGGGCGATCTTCTTACTGGTATGGATACTGGTGAATGAAATGTGTGTGCTGGGGACATGATACAGGGGTAGGATCACTGTGTGTCCTTACACACACACACACACACACAAAATCCTGGACTACAAACACACTCTACAGTTATTAAGAAGCAATGAGAAATCTACTGCTGCATAGGGGGAGGAATCATAGTCTGCTGCTTCGCTCTGAGTTCTGGGCCTCAAGGCTGTGTGCCAGGGCTCAGTGTGCAAAGTCTATGGGTAGGACATGGATAGTGTTCAATATGAAAATTGTGTGGTGGGAGTGTATGACTGCAGACTGAAGCATCTCTGTTAGAGAAACTGTATTGTGTGTGAGGGTAAAGGGACCCAGAGGAAGGACCGATGTGTGTGTGTGCTTGGCGTAGGATCTTACAAGGGAAAGAACAGTTTGTGTGTTGGCGGTGTGATATCACTGGGGAAAGACCAGGAAAAGGCTGATTTGCATAGTGGTAAAATGAAACCCTGACTAAGGCATTATCCTATTAACTCCGGTGCAATGATGGATAGCGACATTAAATCACTACATAAATTATATGGGAAAGGAGTTTAAAACCCATTCAAATTAATAAATTAACTCTAAAGTATCAACCCTATACTCAGGGTTAGATTTTTATCACACGTGCCTGCAGGCATTGTCACACAAACTTTGGCACTTAAGGGAAGACCACTTTGCTAGGATGACATGGAACATTTCCCTGTTTTCCTGGTTTAGACCTGGCTTTGAATATTATTAATATTATTATTATAATACAGGATTTATATAGCACCAACAGTTTGCTCATCGCTTTATATATTTTGGCACTGTTGAAAAAGGCTTATATGATGGCGGTATTTCTATTGATGATAGGAAATTGTTTTTTCCATTATCACAAGAAAAAGCTGCATCTTTGCTCTGGCAGTCAATAGGTACATGTCTACTATGCTTAATAGTAAAGGCCTTCTCATCTTTCTAGTACATTGTTTATATAGTGAATAAAACAATCAATTTTCCTAAACATGTGTTTAGTTCTCAGAATTAGTGTGATACATGGTCACCTGCACCCATACAGTTCCTTCAGCACCCATACTGAGAAACAACATTTCAATTTCAAAGATTCAACTCTGACCAGAGAGAGCGAATACAAAGCTCATATATCAGGGTGGTGCAAAATGACACTAATCTAACACTGACAGGTTTTGTTTAAAATTTGGGATTAGGTCAAACTGGAAACCAAGGTAAATAAAAATACTTATTGACAAATTAGCACATCACAAGGTTCAATTCATGTAAACATCTCAAAATTTATCAATGTAGCACATTCCTTTCCTGAGTTACTGCATTCAACCATATCAGCTTCTATTGTGATTGAATCTGATTGATGATGCAATTGCAGTTACTGTGTACACAAATGGAATAACAAAATAAATGTATCTTTAAGAAACAGGACATAGTCTGTTTATCAAAAAGAAAAATGGAAATGCATCAGTTAAAACCAAAGAATTCTTCACAATGTCTGAATATGTACTTGACACTGGTCAAAGAATGCTTTTGGATATGCAGAAAAAGCCAAGCTTTTACAATGAAGCAATTTTTAGCAAGCAGACAAATGAATGGTCCCTATGTCTCTATTTGCTAAATGGAAACTTTAAGGCAGCAGCTGAGTTTATTTATCAGTGACGCATTTTGTAACTATTACGTTTCATCACTGGCGTCTGTTTTTTATTTGAGCAAGATATTTATGTTTTGTTTTTCACAATAATCCACTTCCATCTGTGATAATTACTAGACAGAGTGCTTTTCAAACAACTTTAAGATGAAACCTGTAGGGTTTAAATATAATCTTGTTTTCTCTGGCTCTAAATGAATATTGTATTGTATCAGTGCAAGAATTTACACCTGCTCATTTATATGGTAACACAAACAGAGAATGTTTGAGACAGAAAAGTAAACTTTGATTAAATATTGCGTTATTGGAAAACTTTACAGTTTACAAGTACCAGGCACAAAACCAATGCTATTTTAAACATGTTACTGAGTATTAAATATGCTGTTGCATTCATAGTACAGAACGATAATATTCTTATGTATTCCCACTTACAATCCCTGACCTGTGAAAGCTGGTTGGATTTGGTCATATGGTCACACAACAGCATCATATGAACTTACTAGGCTCCTTATGTCATCCAAAAGTAAAATGATAATGTTAATAGTAGGGCTGTGCAAATTAACGATTCATTTCTCGATTAATCGTTAATCTTTTTGATCGATTAAAAATGTTTTGATCGATTACAAATTTTTAAAATCTTTTTGCACGAGCGCCAGCCAAAGCATTAGTTTATACACATACACACAGCAATGAAGTAATAAAATGAACTAGGATCACACTAATCCAGCACATTATTATTGTGAGTTGCCCCACTCAAGCGGCGGCCATATTGAGTGGGGCACGTGAGATTAATAACGTGCTGGATTAGTGTGATCCTAGTTCATTTTATTACTTCATTGCTGTGCTGTATGTGTATAGGCCAATGTAGTTGGATCTGTATGTGCGTTATAATTAATCAAAATTAATCGATTAATCGATTTTAAAAAATAGCTTTTGCCAATAACATCAAATGAGGCTTCAGCTTTCATATTTTTAACTCAATTGCACCATTAGTTGATCATGAGCATAGGAGGTAAGCTCAGCGATGTATCCAGTGTATGGCACATATGACACATGACCTGGGTGTGGGGGCACTGCTCCGTGGGTCAACAAAAGTTCACCGACCCATGGAGACAGGTGACACTTTTTTCTTGCCCCACCCCTCTTCCATACACATCTCACCGCTCTTAGCAACCAGGGGCGCTCTGGCTGGAATCCCGCCCAGCTCCTAGCAACCACTGACGTCACTGGTTGCCAGAAGCTGGGCAGGACGCCAGCCACAGAGTCCCAGGTTGCTAAGAGCAGGACAGGGAGATGTGTAAGTGCATGTGGGTGGGGCGCTGACTAGAGATGGGCTCAATGTTCGAGTCGAAGAACAGTTCAACTCAAACATCGGCAATTCGTGTGCTAGGCGAACACACAAACTATCAGGGTGTTTGGTGGGCTGTTCACCGGCCGAGCGCCCCACAAGGCACTGCGCACCACACAGTGCCTTGTGAAGCCCTGTTTGGGTAAAGCAATGACCTGTGGTCAGGTGCAAGACTTTACCCAATCACAGCACAGTGCACTGTGAGAGCCATGATTGGGCAAAGTAATGATGACTTTGCCCAATCATGGCTCACACAGCTAAGACCTGTCAGGTGCCTGACAAATGTAAACAGTTGGATGGAGCTAGCTAGCTGTCAGCGCTAGCTCCGCCCAATTGTTGATATTTTTTCTATATACAGTAAATGTCACTTTTTGTTGCAGCAGGTTCTATACATCGTACAGATGCGCCACTTTACAGGCAGTTTAAGGGGATCCCCAAGGCCCTTATACATCTCACCACCCAGCTCTTAGCAACCTGGGACACTCTGGCCAGCGTCCTGCCCAGCAACTGGCAACCAGTTGGTGCAATTTGTTATATATACGCCTCTGGGTAAGCTCCATGGTTCAAATAATCAAAATACACTATGGTATTTGATCAATGGCAGCCTAAGCACCACATCATTCTAAAGAAACTGAGAGGTTGGAAGACGTTTTTTCTGCATGGGATCATGAGCATGGGAAGTGAGCCCCATTTTTTTGCCTTCCTCTGGATCAACAGGGGGTATCTGTGGGCATTGCGTTCTGTTTTTGCTTTTTCTTCTTATCCTTATAGGTTGAACTTGATGGACTTGTGTCTCCGTTCACCCTGGCAAACTATGTAACTGTTTAAATCTTAAAAATGCATTTTTAATATATCTCATCAATGACAATACACGCATTATGCTAAATCATTGATATATTAACTCAGTTGAATATTTGGTGTAATATATTTTCTGAGAGTGCAATGGCCAACATATACATAGAAATCCATTTTTTGATATTGACCACTGAGCAATAACCTATATACTTCTAACCGAAAAGATCCTGTTGATCACTTTTAAAAGTGGTGATATAGGTGAGGAAATTCTTGAACACTGCAGGAAAAACATTAGCTTATACTACAGACAAAAGTCGTGAAAAGTAAATGTATCTAATTATTTACTAAATCTTTGAAAACTACTATGAAAAAAAGTATTGGTCATGCAAAATGTGATATGTGTATAAAGGCTATGGACATATATGGTGGACTCCTGTTAAGCATCAAGTCATTTGAAATGGAATGCTTTCTTTGCAAAGTAGTGAAGACCATCTGTCCATTTCAGAGCTCACAGGGAGTGGTATAAAGGAGTCATATAAGCTGGTATGTTAAAAAGTTATACCCATGAAACAAACTAATTCAAAGGAAAAAACTTACTATAATGGAAAACACATGTGGCCTTTATAATGCCATTAGAAAGGCAACCATTCATCACTCAGTGTCTATAGACAGATAAATGTATATTGAGAGGCAGATTATAATACCTGCATGTGGAAGGGACTTCTATTTACAGGTGGAGTACACAGTTGATAGAGGAGAATATTATACATGATAATGAATGCCTTACACTGATTGATGAGGCTCACTCGACTATAAGATGGCTTCTTAGAATCCTGTTATCTGCTTAAAAGTTTAGAATTCTTTACTGACATCTAATAATTTACTAAAATATCACAAGAGATAGATAGAAAGAAATAATGCCAAGATGTATATGCTTTGTGAAGGCTGCAAAAGCCATCATGGATCACAACTATTTAAATATAATATACAGTAAATATTATTTTATATGTAAATTATGCCACCATAGTCTTATAACCGCGGATGTAAATATGTGTACGGCACTTATATAATCAATTGCATGGATACAGCCATTTATTAAAACTAATTAAAGAAGTGCAGACTCAGATGTGTGCTAATCTGCACTGGAAGAACAACTGATCTCTGGTTGGTTTCCATTGGTAACACTTCCACTTTCTTTTCCTTCACTACACTTGTGAATGCCCCTCATAATGTTTCATGGTTATATACATATAGTTCTACAAGTCTAAAGCCACAAACCCAAATCATACTAGTTTACAATGTATGCCATTTCCTGTAGGCATGCAGAAAGTTGTAGTTAAGGAAACATTTAAGTGAACAATTTAAGAGTTTGTTTTGTCGCAGAATAATAATATAATTAAGTGCCTTTCTTTTAGATGCTGGAAATATTTAGTCTAACAGCTTCAATTTATGATCTTCAGAGGAATGTTTTATATTCTGATGTCTGTGCAGATAGGGGCTCTATAAATAATTCTGTTTACTTTGATGCATTTTCTGTGCGTCCCACAAGACAATGACCAGCACAATCAGAGGTTACCATCTTCCTATTATAAGACACACGCAAGAAAACAATACTATTCTGGAGGGTTTAAAGAGTATTTTCCACATGCAGAAAAAACAGAAAAAATATATTGTAAATAAACCAGATTCTGTGATAATCCTCAGTGTTTCCTATGTTACAATTTGTTTTTGCCATTTTCTTGCCATTTTTAATGTACTCACTTGATTATTAGTTTAAAAATAGAAACTATAAAATTAACGGTATTGTGTACTTATTCAGTACCTTGTACAAAAGCAAGGAAATCAATAAGTATACAAATATAAAAATGATCATTAGTACTAAAATATGATATTCTGTATTAAGCTAACAAATGTAATTATGGTATTCCGAACAGTTCCTTTTTTGATTTAACCCATTTCATTTTTTATATTGATCTCAACATTTAGAGGTTTATCACAATGGAGCCGAAGTTTTCAGCTGTAGCTTCGGCTGATCCTTTGGCTCACTTCGGCCGCCTGATCAGAAGGGCTGCTGTACAGGCTATTCACAATAGCCCGTACAGCAATCGAAGGCAGCTGAGCAGCTCAGCTGTGCCGAATGCATATGCTTCAGCTCAGCTGAGCCGTAGTGACAGCTGAAGTGTGGAGAAAGGTCGTCCAAATGGCCGACCGTTCCCCACGGAGATGACAGCATCACCACTCCGTCCCAGTTGTAATGACAGATCAATATCCTCGAATGACCTGGGGACGCTGATCTGTCATTGAACAACTGTTAAAAAAAAATGCATTTTTTTATTTCGTCAAGTCGTCGTCATCGTGGACAACGCTGGACGCTGTGATTGACCTTAGGATTACATCAGTGGATCCATTTTTGTTTCTTTGTTTTTTCAATAAGGGACTTGTCAAAATCCTTTGTTGTTGTTTTTTCTTGTCAAAATCCTTTTTTGTGTTTTTTTTAATTAAACAATTTTTTCTAAAAGTCTGGACTTTTTTATATTTATATTAACGCTTTAGTGAATGGGCAGGGGTACCCCTTATTCATTCACACGGGGGGGGGGGAGTGCATCTGGGTGCCCCTTTATTATTGAATAAGCCCTTCTACTCACACCCCCACAACCAACGCCCCAGGGCTGGTTGGAAAAAGGCCCTTGTCCCCATTGGCACAGGGACAAGGTGCTTTTCCAGGGGTGACCCTGGAAAAGCACCCTCCCAGTACCGAGGGTATGTGGCCTGGTGCTTGCTCATCTTCCCCCTCTCCTGCCCTGCCAGGCCTGTGCTCGGATCAAGGGTCAGGTTGGGAATTCTAGGGGGACCCCTTGTCTTTTTTCCCCATTTTTGGGGGTTGGGTCCCTCCTAAAATTCCTACCAAACCTAAAGGGCCTGTATGACTCCTGGGGGGGAACCCCATGCTTTTTTTTAATTTTACCTTGGGGTCCCTCCTAACTTTTTATACTCACACCCCCACAACCAACGCCCCAGGGCTGGTTGGAAAAAGGCCCTTGTCCCCATTGGCACAGGGACAAGGTGCTTTTCCAGGGGTGACCCTGGAAAAGCACCCTCCCAGTACCGAGGGTATGTGGCCTGGTGCTTGCTCATCTTCCCCCTCTCCTGCCCTGCCAGGCCTGTGCTCGGATCAAGGGTCAGGTTGGGAATTCTAGGGGGACCCCTTGTCTTTTTTCCCCATTTTTGGGGGTTGGGTCCCTCCTAAAATTCCTACCAAACCTAAAGGGCCTGTATGACTCCTGGGGGGGAACCCCATGCTTTTTTTTAATTTTACCTTGGGGTCCCTCCTAACTTTTTTCTTTAAAATTTTTATAATAGTTTTTTGACTTTTTTTATTTTTCTATTTTTTACATTTAAATAATTTTTAAACATTGACCAGTGAAGCGTCTTCAAGAAAAATACAGCAAGTCCAGTTGCCTTGAACCTTCACAGACACAATTTTTAAACATTGGTGTTTTTTTCCCCATTTGTTTACATTATTTTCTATTCTGCTTGCTACCTCGAAGGTAGTGAGCAGAATAGCCGAGCCGAATGCCGCTCTGCTGCATTTGGCTATTCACTCACTGCCGTTCGGCCCCCATAAGAATGGGGTGAAAGCCAGCGAGTGAGCTGCCGGAGCTTCGGCTCAGCCGATCCAGATGTTGTTGCACTTCGGCTCTGCATGCTGGGCTGACCGATGTACGGCTGATTTTAGCCGATGTACGGCTGCAATCAGCTGTACAGAGCTGAAGTGAATAGCCGAACGTCGTTCGGCTCTGTTCACTTCGGCTGCGTGTTTCACTCAGCTGCCTTCAAAATCAGCCATACTGAGCTGAAGTGAATAGCTGAACCCCCTTACTGTATATGCAGATCAAGTCTTCCAGCAAAAGTGACAGTGATTGGTTGGGACACATTTACATGGGTGGTACTTCAGCTGACTAGGATTACAGATTGGCAATATAAGTGTAACAGACTTACAACACTGCTTAACTATCACTACCCCACCACTTTGTTTCCCTACCAGATTTAGAAGAATAAGGCCTGTGTCAGCTCCAAGCTGTTCCTAGTCTGAGCTGAGGTCTCTTGCTCTGCCATATGTGACAGCACTGATGCTTGAGTGTCCAATCGCTAAGCACTAGTGCTCACTGCCTTTATTCCAGTATGGGTAGAGAGAGAGAGAGAGCCACATGATTTCCCACATCTGGATGTACTAAACATTTTGCTATATATAAAAGCACTTTG